CAAGCACAGTGAAAGAGGCCAAACTCCTGTCCGTTTTTGCTGTTGCTTTAAGTGAATGAAATTAATCATTTATTTTTTCCTGTGATTTCAGTAAGCCAGCAGCTACAGCCAGTTAGCAGGCAGGGAGGAGAGGGAGGGTATAGAATGTAAGGTTAAAAAGTATAGATGTACATTGTCCTCTTCAGGCCTCACAGAAAACATCAAACATTCATAATCATAATATCTGACACCTTTTGTTAGGGATCTGATCACTGTTGTTTTAATGGGAAGCGTATCAACTTCCTGATGAATTCCTTACTGCATGTAAGTCATTCACTGGTAAGATATGCTGTCATCTGTCTGTTGTGCTTTAGCCTAGGTCATAAATTTGCTTCATCTCACTCCAGAATGCTTCGAATACAGATAAAATCATATCTAATACATGGACCTGAATTCTCATCTCAACGAATGCAAATGTTTCATGACACATCTTTACATGCACCTACATAAAGAAGCACTTAAAGGACAAGCGTTTTCTCTCTCAGCTTCTATGTGGTTTTCTTTTAAACAGGGTGGGAAGGGGCTCGTGGAATTTTTGTTTCCAGTGTGCTCCCCTGAAGTTCAGGGTCCTGATGCTGCTTTTTTCTCCAGATCACAAATTCCACCAGGCCACAATCACAAAAGCCCAGGCTGCCTTCAATCTTAACGTCGTTAATGGTCTCCTCTGCATTGGTGAGCATGAGATCCAGTAGGACTTCAGCTTGGGTTGATCTGTCTAATACCTGGAGCAGGAATTTATCCTCAACAGACTCCAGGAATGTCCTGGATAAATAACATCAAATAACTCTTGATAAGGACAAGCCAACCGGGGACCAACAGTTGCAAGCCCTTGCATGGACAGAGGGCCAAGGCTTGCAGCTGGTTTGATTGTTCTGCAAGGAGGAGAAAATCCCCCAGAGACAGTCCTGGGTTTTGACATCCCTCGGGAGGAACCTGGGGGTCTCAGAGAGCTGGCCAGCAGAGTTGGAGAGTGTGGGGAAAGCCTGTAGGACTTCCTCCTGCAGCCTAAGAATGATGGAGTCATAGAATCATTAAGGTTGGAAAAGACCTCTGAGATCATCAAGTCCTACTATCAGAGAGAAGCATGAACTTTTATTGAATAAATCTTCTTGCTGTACATGCCTGGGGCTGCATGCCATGGCCAGAGTAACCTGATGGGGCCCATGGGAAGATGTGGCCAAGGCCCTGGTGACTGGTGCGAAACACCGATGCCAAGCACATGAGATGCAAAGAATGGAATGGGCAGTGACACTGGGAAAAGCCCAGAAACTTGTGAAACTAGTGCTGGTGCTGGAGTACGTGCTGCAGGTGAGGACGGCTCATTGTGATGAGCCAACAATGGACTGTGACATTGCTGTGGGATGGGCAGTGATGCCCCCAAGAGAAGGTCGAATAAAGGTGACGCCCAGCAGCTTGGCCAAGCTGTGGTTTGAGACATCTCCAGGCAACGGATTGTGACTCCATAGTCCACAGATGCTTTAATGTGGGCGTAGCAGCTCAGCCCAGCAGTTCTTGCCTGACCTCCAACCGAGCGTGTGTGCGAGGACTGGAGTGTGGACAGGGCGAACTTTGGTGCTGGTACGTGCTCTGGGTGCTGCTAGCGCAGCTCTCAGAAGCCGTTTCAGAGCCACTTTTTCTTTACCCCGACCCTGCTGGGAGCAGGCGGACAGGACATCCCAGAGAGGCGCGTGCAGCAGCATAGGTAGGCGGCACAGGGACTGGCATCGAGGGGGGTGAATTCTGAGAGATCCTTGCCAGGCCGATATGTGACTAATGTCTCTTGTCCTCTTCCAGTGTGACACCTGCTGCTGTAGCGTCAGTGCTGGGGAGTGTGTTACCACCTTCTGCTCCCCCGAGCCCACCGTAACTGGTGGAAGCATGGAGGCAGCATTAGACACCCGCTGCCCCGTGTGCCTGGAGAACTGGGACAGTGCGGCGTACACCATGCCGTGCTGCCACCAGTTTTGCTTCCCCTGCATACAGCGGTGGACAAGCACCAGGCCTCAGTGTCCGCTTTGCAAACAGGACGTGCAATCCATCATCCACTCTGTGCAAGCAGACAACGACTATGAGGAGCTGGTGCTCAGACCAGCTGCAGTGGCAGCCACTGCCAGACGGAGTCCCGCAGGACGCCGCGCAGCCCGGCCATGGCCTGCAGTGCCCACGCGTCCTGTGGGTGGCCTGTCCCCCGCCACCTGGGCTTCCATCTTCCAGGAGCACCCGGTCCTGCTGCGACCCCTGCACTCCTGGCTGCGATGGAAGCTGCGCCGCATCCTGGGCACCGAGGGGCCACATGCAAATACAGTGGCATACAGTGTCATCTGGGCTGTGCTCCTTGTCGGCTTGGCAGAAGAGATCCTGGTAGAAATGCTGGAACCCGACCTGCAGGGCCACGCAGTGATCTTTGTAAGGTACTTCATCGCCTTCGCTGTGCAGAGGTGCGCCAGGGAGGCTCATCACTTGCTGGGCCTCAACATCGCTCCAGCTGCTGGGGCACAGGCCGTTGCATCAGAGCCCAGAGCTGCCCCAGGAGAGGAGGCTCCTGTCCCTAGCCCAGCATCCTCCAGCAGCCCTGCCAGCTCCGGCTCCAACGGGGACGAAATGCTGGGCAGGACAGGAGAACAGCTCAGTGGGCGTCCCAGCCGCCCACATTCCAATCCTGTGAATGTCACCATGGAACAGGCAGTGCCCCGTGAGGAGCCAGAAGAGGTTGCAGGGCCCTCTGGCACCAGCCCACCTGAGGGGACCCGGCGAGCCCCAAAGAGGAAGGCCAGCAACTCCCAGCCTTCGGCATCACCAAAGAAGAGGCCACCTCGCCGGCAGGATTAGAGCAGTGATGAAGCTGAAGAGACTGGGGCCGGGCAGCAGCTGGGACGTACACCGGCCCCAATGGACCCTTGCCATCAGTGTCCAATTCCACCATTGAAATAAAGTAGAACAAAAGTCTGCAAAAAAAAACAAAAAAAAAGTGTTAGTATTGCTAATAGCAAAGCACGGCGGTTGTTGCTTCCCCATCCTTGACAGTTTCTTCCCTTTTTCCTACTGCCATGCCACTGGTGCATTCCAGGCAGGAACCCCACGGGCTTGAGAGAGGGAAAGTGCAAATTTCTGCACCTGGGGAGAGGCACCCCCAGAGCACGCTACAGCTGGGTTAGCCAACTGCAGCAGAGCTAGGAGTCCGGCTGGACACCAAGCTGAACCAGCAAGGAGCCCAGGTTGCCTTGGTGAATGGTGTCCTGGGCTGCATGAGGCCGGATGCTGCCAGCAGGTGAAGGGTGGTTATCATGCCCCTCTGCTCAGCTCTGAGGAGACCACAGCTGGAGCTTTGGGCCCAGAACTGGGCTCCCCATCACAAGGGAGACCAGGTGTTGTTCATTTTGCATGTTCGTAGCCCTGGGAGTACAAACTGTCCCTATCCCGCCTTGATGGGCTTGATGGGCTTGGTGGAATGTGGTGTAATTGGAGGGCTGGAGGGCTCGGTAGGGGAGCAGGGCTTGTCCCCAGCCTTGGGGAGGAGCCCATCCTCCACCCACATGTGACATGCCCTCCATCATGTGCATCACAGGCTGCACACAGCCTCCGCATTATTGTATGGGGTGTTTTTAAATCAAAATGCAACACTTCCCCTGTGACATGGGTCATCCATTCTTGACTGCTGGGAGTTTCAGGACCATGCTGTGGTCGGGGCATTCCCAGACCCTGGGCAGGGTGAGGATTTGTGGGTCAGTTTCTGGGAGTCGTGCAAGGCTGGAGATGTTTCCTCAGCCCCTCCAGGTACCAAAATCCCCGAGTTCCATGGTACTGTGACTCTCATGCCCAATCACCTTGTACCATGCCCTGTTCCAGCTTTGCATGGATTCTGCTCCACCCCTGCTGAGTGCTAGGAACCACTTCTGAGGGCTGAGTTCACCAGGGACCGGTGCAGAGTCCTCCCCTCCTCCTCCACTGAGAAGGTACAGTGCCAGCACCAAGACAGCTTGGTAGCACTCAGCTGGGTAGCCACTTCCTGGAAATGGAACTGGGCTTCTGGTGGACATAGAGATGGCAGCAGTGTGCTTAAGGCCATCTCCAGGTTGCCAGCTCAGGGTGGGTTTTGTACAGTCTCCACTGTAGCAAAGGCCGTGCCTGGCCTGGCAAGCCTCTGCTTTGCAGCACGTCTTTGGCTCTAGAAGACAGATTCTGAATTTCTGCCTCCCTTGCTCTCCCTTAAGACATTGCAGATCATAGAATAATGGAATCACAGAATGGCCTGGGTTGAAAAGGCCCTCGTATACTTGGTTAAATAATCACGCTAGGTGAAGTTTTGTGAAGGATTCTTTGCTCGCTGCCCCTCAGCACGCAAATAAGTTTTTGTGTTGTGAAGAACTTGCAGCTCCCATCATTTTTGTGGGTTTGTGGGTTTTGTGCTTGCTCTAACCTGAAGCATCACACATATCCTCCAGATGACCCCATTTATTTCTGCGTTAAATGTATTAATTACAAAACGAAGTGACATGCTCTTCTTTCTCTTTCTGCATGATCTTGATCATACGTTAATTGGTTTTGTTTATTTTTCCTTACAAATTGGAGAACACCTTAACAATGGAGCTTTATGTTCACTGTTCAATATGAAAGATGGGTATTTTGTTATTTTCTTCTTCTGATTGATGGCTTGTTTGAACTTTCTTGTCCTCCTTTTGAAATTTTTGTCCTGTATGTTTTAAACAGCTGACTTAATAATATCCTGCTGGTTTTTCAGGAGGATCATTGATATAGTAAATGTTTTATACTTTTATTTTGAACATACTCTGCTTTTGTGAGGTGAGATACCAGGTACCAAAGAACCTTATTATCTAATCCCAGCATTGGGCATGCAAATAAGGCCACCACTATGAGTACAGGAAAAGTCAGTACAGAATGATGTGTAGTTTTCACATATCCCATGAATTAAAATGCCATGTTTTGCTCCATGTGTCTTCTAGGTGTGGATGTGTGGAGGTGGCATGTTCGATGTTCCATGTTCTAGAGTTGGGCATATCTACAGGAAGTATGTCCCTTATAAAGTTCCTTCTGGCACCAGCCTAGCACGTGTGAGTAATTGGGTTTTGCTGTTTTTCATTTTCATTTATAATCGCTTTCTTCATTTCCTGTGAACTGGTTTCCACACCTAACAGTAAGCCATTAAAATGTGAAACGTATGTTGCTTTATTTTTCTGAAATGAGATGTGCAATTGCTGCAGTTATGCTGCCTTGCAGAGATAAAATTGCAAAGAGCAAAATGAAAGCTTAAAATTGTAGGGCTGGACATTTCAGCGCAGAAGTGTGTTTCATAGCAATTCAAAAGAACCTAAGAATAACCTGAGGCTTTTGCTTCTTGAATAGCACAGTGTTGTCAGGCATAGCAGGACCAATTTGAAAGCACGTTTTCTTATCTGTCAGCAGAACAGGCAGAATCTTGCATAAGGAATATTTTCTGAGGGAAAAGAACTGAGCAACAATGATTTGAGCGACTGTCTAATTATTGTGTAAAACCTGGTTATGGGATGCTGCCAGCTTGGAGCCATGTGAGTAAGAAATTAGGAGACCTCTAGATATTTTTCAGACTACCATCCATATCCATGGAGAACTTTTTGCTCAAGAGAAAATGTTCTGTAACTTTCTGGAGATGTTCACAGGATGTCAAAAGATGGGAGACAAAGGCCACAGATGTAGCTTCCAGGAAGATACTAGTATTTATTCATGCTTAAATTTAATCTTTTCTATTTTAGAGGATTTTTTTTTAAATGGCATTAATATTAAAGTCTGTATATTGCCATAGGATAATATTTTATGAATCCTTTTTTTCTTAATAATGAAAATGTGGTAAAAATAAAAGAATATATTTCTTTTAAAGGGGAGATATTCTTAGTTTCAGCAGTATGGAACAAGTCTGGCTGTGATAACTCTGGAGACAGGAATGAGGCCTTCTGTACTCCCTGCCTGACAGCTGCCTAGAGAGAGAAAAAATTGCCTGAAAAGAATGCCCATGTAAATAGCAAGGCACAGTAATGGGATTAGTGGTTGTGGCAGTGTTGGTGACAAGGGGATTGATTAAGTTGAGAGGTTCAGATCTTCCCCTAAGCTAAGCACGTGTATTCTCAAAGTGTCCTTATTCAGATTTCTACACTGGTTGATATAAACTGCTTTGTTATTGTATCCCCTGGTGAAATCACACTTAACTTGATATTAGAAGTCCAAGTTTCATTCTTTCTTTTCCCCTGCTACAGAACAAAGTATCTCATAAGAGAATATGCTGTCTTGTGCATTACCTGTAGCAGTCAAATTCAGTCATTTCTGTTTGTACTTACTAGCATCTCATACAGTTCAACGTTACCTTTCTTGGTGGCACTGTGCGTACTTGCAGCCAACGGGTAGCCACAGCCTGCAGTCTCCCTTTTTTTCTGTTCATATGCATGTGTGTGTATGTATACGCATGTAATGTATTTATATTTTTATACCATATATTTATTTTCACATTCTAATGAAACATCCGTGAAATACTGACACCCAAAAATACCAGATATAAAATTAAATACCTGCACATGCTCTGCCCTGTCTTGTGAGAAGAGATGTAGTAGCATGTTGATGAGATGGACCTTATCCATCCCATTCAAGAAATAGTTGCATCTGTGTTAGAATCTGAAATATGATGATGCTGAGGTAAATTTCTGGCATATGTTAAAATTTGAAAGAAAATTTGAATTTCCAGGTTTTTAATTTTTTTCTGGTACAGTATTCTAAATCAAAATATGACTGTTAAGATACATTGTATCAAGGTTGCCAACAGTACATGATCTTCTGTACGTTTTAGTGTTTGGGGCTATCTTAATAACTAGCCAAGGAAGAAAGGACCCTGAACCATAACGTTGTGTTTAAGCCCAAAAATGTTCTCCTTCTGTCATCCAATCCAGAAAATCAAAAGCAAGTACATACTCATCCTTCATATGTCAATCCCTTTGAAACAGGCCATTTGTGGTTTTGAATAAACTGCTCCAAACAGAGCTGTTAGCCAAAATAATGCTATGGCATATTGCCTAGATTTTTCATCAATCATTACCTTATTCTCCAAATATCATGATGTTCTCCAAAGAATGTAGTTTGCCTGTAAAAATATTTTATCTGAAACTTCCCTCCAGTTCAATAATATAATGGATAGTATAGCAAAGAATACCTAGAAGTATTATCTCTGCAACATTTTCAGTACTTAGTTGCTTCCATAAAACATTTCGCTAAATCCTTTTCCATCTTCTGGTGTGTAAAGAAGGATGCTGGAGGTGCAGTTCACAAGGGAATAAGCCATAGGAAGCCCAGCTGAGATTGTGTAAATGATTGCAGTAGCCCCTTCACTTGTCAAGAGAGAGCTTTCTGTTGTGCAGATACTGCTTTAAAGAAGCATGGATGTCCTCATCCTGTCCCTCAACACCAGCACAAGTGACAAAGGGACAAGTTAGAAAGATGGAGCTTCTAGACATGCCATGGATCTATTTTCAAGCTGTTTCAGCCTATGTTTGCCCATTTTACCTTCTCTTCTCGTAGAATTTCACCTGTTTACATCTTTTAGTAGCAAGTTTCAACATGCAATTTCAGCTAGCTATGTAATATCTGACCAGCTTAGGTATATTTTTAAAAAGCTATGATCTGCCATGAGGATAACTTGATTTATAAAATGAAAGACTTGTCAAAAACCGTGTTCTGCCTTCCCCATCAGTAAATAACCATTAGTGTACCACACACAATAGCAGGTGTCATTACATCAATTTTCTATATCCTTATTATTGTATTTCTTTCCTTCTTTTCTGTCATTCTAGACCTGACAGGCCTACACATACCTTATGCGTTGAAAAAAATCCACCTATGTCTGCAAAACATTTGCTGTACAGAAGTAAAGCAAACTGTAAACATGCGTAGTAGATTTATAAAACAGGTCGTTACAGAATCACAGAATGGCCCGGATTGGAAGGGACCTCAAAGATCATGAATCTTCAACCCCCCACCACCACAGGCTCGGCCACCAACCAACACATTTAATACTAGACCAACACTAGTCACAAACAAATGCAAAAGCTTTTTTAACAAAGCTTTTTCTGGAGATGTCTCAGGATGTCACTGCTTGCCAGGGGCCCAATTTACAGGTAATTGCACATAAAATGAGATTAATGAGCATGCAGATGACAGAAGTGATTCCTCATTGTAGTGTGGAAGTACCATGTAATTATTCATTCATTCATTTGTTCAGTCACCCTCTGTACAACATTGCAGCGACTAGTAGTTGCTTTTATTTGTTTGTTTTACATAAAGTATAGCAAACTAGGCCTCAAATCTTAGAACCCCACACAAGTCATTGTCCTGTTAAGAACTTCTGAATTCTTTGACTGGGCTGCTTTAGTTGCTTTATGACATTCTTCCCTGTTCCTATTTTTTTTTAAGAGTTACCTATGAAGTTAGACCTTAAAATTCAATTAGTGATTTCTTTTAGATGTATCCCAGAAAATTATTTATTTTATTTTGCTTCTTGTTGGGGCGGGGGGATTTTTCTATTCATGATTCTGTCAGAGCTATCAGAAAATTGTTAATAAGCAGTCACTTTCAATAGGATATACAGAGATGAACTCAGAATTTCAAAATATATCCAGAGAATTTTTTTTCATTTACAGGTATCTTACACAGCATTTTAGCCTTAACTCAGAACATTAGAGCATTAGGCCTTGCTGAAGGGAAGGGCAATCCCACTGAAGTTCACGTTTGGATGCTAACCCAACAGCATGGTGAATCCTAATCTTAAACTGAATTCCTCCCTGCACTCCAGGACATGGGATCCCAGAGCACAGTGATTCTCTGACCCAACAGACACAAGCCCGATGACATTTGCCTCATTACACAGTGTTGCTGAATTGGGACTTGCAAGAGTTTGTTTCAGGAATTCAGCTGCTAAAGATGGGTTCAGATTCCCACCTGAACCATTCTCTCAGCCTTTTTCAGTGGCTTTGAAAAGATAATTTCTTTAAATAAAGAAATGTAGCTAAACCATCTGGTGCTGTGACAACATTTGCATTTTTTGGCAGAGCTTCTTTTAATATTATGATCACTTATTTTAATATTTTTTTTTTCCAGCTGCAGATAGTGTTTGGGCATTTTCTTAAAGCAGCCCTTCAACATTTTCTTTTGTTTCCAGACAAAGTAAAGGACAGAGGAGAAACAGTTAGGTAAAGAGAGCTCATAGGGCTGTTTTCTTGTGACTGTAGTACAAACCAATAGATGTGGCATGCTGCTTAGGGGCAGTGCTGGTACTTTCACAGTGACCTCCTTAGTGCTTAGCACACTTTCTAGTGTTTGTTCAACAGCCTGGCACTGGAAGCCACGTCGTGTAGCTGAAGAAATGTGTCTGGAAACAAACTACTGAACTCTCTTCTAGGATTATCAGCAAAGGTGGACTGTAGGCTACCAAGTATGAGTCTGCAAAGTGGGCATCACAGTAGCAAGCAGATGTTACACCATTGTTTTGCTTCCTGTAGAGGAGCAGGCATCAGTAAATAAAGTTTGTATTTATACCTTTCTGAAACATTTATCTCTAGAGTGGCTGAGAGGATGATGTGCTCTACTTTCTCTACTCTCTCTCTCCCCACAGCTGCCTTACAAACAGGCTGAAGAGACATGCAGGCAGAGCTTGAGGCAGGGAGCGTCCTGGCAATGCACCATGTGTGCATACAGAGCTTGCTGCCCACTGAACCCCACAGTCCAGCCTCAAGTGAGCAGAGATGTGTCCTTTAGTGACAGCTGGCTTTTTCCAGCCACCTCTTCCCTTTTTTCAAAGTGTAGATTTAACTTTGGGTTGTTTTTTTTTTTCCTCGCCCTCTTGTCGGGGGGGGGGGGGGGGGATAGAGATACAAACATTGCTAAAAAGAATGAAATTCTGGCTGTTTTCACGTGACATCTCTACAATTTCAGTTTTAGGTATTCACAGTATACAGGCTGAAAACAGTCTCTTGCTTCTCTGCCAGCTGTGCTGTGCTAACTCCCACGAGAGTTATTTATATACACCACCAGCTTTGTC